TCTCACCTACATCGTCCATATAGGACGACTCGGGAACTCAACTCCTACCCCGGGCAGCTCACCTATCCCCTTATGCCCAGGGGAAAGGTATCAAGCCGTTTGACAGCTGATGCTAGCTGTCAAACCGGCTTTTACGCGAAACAGGCGGGAGGCAGCAAACAGCTGCGACCGACGAAGACGCCTGCCACCGGAAGTCTCTATCCAATTTCTTCTTGAAAATGTCAGTGATGTAGCATCCACAACTTCTGGAGGCAAGTCATTCCACTGGTTAATCGTTCTCACTATCAGAAATTTCTTAGTTCTAGTTGGATCACTTTTAAAAATCTCCCATTATTTCTTGGTCTGCTCTCAGGTGCTCTGGAGAATAGTTTGACCCCTCTTCTCTGTAACAGCCCCTCAAATATTGGAAGACTGCTATTATGACACCCCTAGTTCTTCTCTCCACTAGACTAGGACATACCCAGTTCCCACAACCATTCATCATATGATTTAGCCACCAGACCCCTTATCATCTTTGTTGTTCTTCTCTGCACTCTTTCTAGAGCTTTACAATCTTTTTTGTACTGTGACCAAAACTACCGGTAGATGCGGAATTCCAAGTGTGATCTTACTTGTGCAGTATAAAGCCAGTTACTATTACTTTCTGTGACCTTGATGCAACCTAGGACTGTATTACCTTTTTTGGCAACTGCAGCACACTGCTGGCTTACACTTAAGTGGTTAGGGTTGTTTTACATACATCCTTGTGTTGGTGTTAGTGCTAATATTTGTTTACTGAGATGCTATCAAATTCAAAGGCAATTTGTAATTATTGCACTTTTGGTTTTATACCATACTTGGGAAAGGTGCATTATTGTTATAATCATGTTACTTCTAGGATCTGGATATAGAAATGCAAAATTAGAGCAGCTGCGTAATGAAGCTGTTCCTGCTGCAGTGCTCCATAAATATAGAGATGTATGTATGTATGTATGTACATCTTAGACATGAAGCCAACTGGGTGACTAGGAAGCAGGCCAGAACTAAACCACGTCCAAAATCCTTCCAGGTAAACTGCAGGGTCTAGTCTAGGAGGTAGTCGGGAGTCAACGTTGACTAGAAGGAACCAATATATATACAGATAGTCCTCAACTTACAACCGTTCATTTAGTGACTGTTCAAAGTTATAACAGCAATGAAAAAAAGTGAATTATGACCATTTTTCCACACGTACAACCATTGCAGCCTCTCCATGGTCACATGATCAAAATTCAGACGCTTGGCAACGTGGTTGCAGAGTGCCATTGATGGTTGCAGAGTGCCATTGTCACCTGATCATCTTTTGTGACTTTCTGACAGGCAAAGACAATGGGGAAGGCAGATTCACTTAACAACTGTGGCATGGAAGCTTGTAAAATGGGGCAAAATTCACAACTGTCTCGCTTAGCAATAGAAATTTTTACCTCAGTTCTAGTCGTAAATTGAGGACCTACCTGCATTGGCTTCATGTCTAAGGTGGGACTAGAACTCACAGTCTCCTGATTTCTAGCCTGGTGCCTTAACCACTACACTAAACTGGATTTCCCTCTCATTTTACCATTCTATTGAATGGGGGACACAGTGATGTTGTAGAGGAGGAAATCCTTCCTCTACTTTGTTCACATTGATTCTAATCTTGCTTGGTCCTGCATATATTGAGCCAGATTTGGAAAAGGTGAGAGACATGGGAGCATGGGAAATGTCAGCTGATCAGTTAGCTTCCTTAAGACCAGCATAGCAAGACTCACTGAGGCATCCTAAAGAACTGCTTAAAGCAGATTGCCTTTGGTTTGGGTTTATGGTCACTTAAGATCTACTGGTTCAACAACAGTTTAAAGTTATGATGGTGCTGAACAAGGGGGATTTTACAATAGGTCCTTGTAATTTGCATCTGTCACAGCATCCTGGTGATCACATGGTCATAATTTGGACCCTTGGCAGGGATCTTGCAATTCAGGTGTTCCCATATCCTGTTGCCACATGACTGCCATTTCCAACCTTCTCTGCTGGCTTTCAACAAGCAAACTCAGTGAGGAAGCAGGAGGTCACAAATGGGTGATCTCATGATCCTGAGACTTGCAACTGTGTGGGATTCACCTAACGACCTTAACTGGGATTACACAAAACAAGAGCCGCTGCACAAGCCAAGCCTTACCTAATTTCTAGCTGACAATCTACACCCCGCCCTGAACTTAATAACCTGAGTATAACCTGCCCGTTTCGCACTGAAATGTCAGTACTAGTGCCTGCCACCGGGGAGCTTTCAGTCTTCATCCTGTAGTAAAAGTAAAACCACGACAGTGTTTGCAAGACACGCTATGCCACCTCCTAGCCAAACTTTGTTTTAGTCTAGCGTGTTGGGCGAACTCAGTTAACAGGCAGCAAAAGGAAAACAGACGAAAACTTAGGTTCTTTCTGGTTTAAGTACTGTGCATCCTATGTACAATGTACGTCGCGCACGAGCCTCCCCTCCTTTCGAAGAAACCAGGCAGGGAGGCAGGAATTGCAAGAGTTCTCCGAGTGCCGAAAGTCATCGAGATGACATCACAAGGGTCTAAGCAACTTCCCGGAAGCCGACGTGGGCGTGGAGAACATTCCGACCAGCAGGCAGGAGAGATAAGAACTGGTCCAGCACACCGGAAAGAGAGCGGGGCGGCGGGGGAGGAGGAGGAGGAAGGCGTGGCTTAGAATGTTGAGCAGGGCGGGCCAGAGCCCTTAGTGGGCGTGGCCCGATAGGAGGCATCTTTCGTGCTTTCAGTGGTTTCGCTATGCTTTTAAGCCATTTTTATGAAAGGAATCGTTTCCTAGAGAAGACAACTGAAAATCCCGAAACTTTTTCCTACTTTGACAATTGTATTATCTTCCTGTAGTTTATGAGAGCAAAGACAGAATGCTTTTCACTTCGTGGTCTTTTTTTTTATCGCCCTCCCCCAATCTGGAATACAAAGATCAAGTGTTGTTTTGATTTTTAAAATTAAATTATCATGAAAAGGAAAAAAAGTAAATATACATTCCTTTTATGTATTATTTACTGAATTCATAGGGCCATCAAATCGGAAGAATCACATGAACATTAAATATTGGAAAGAGGAAAACGGCAGCAAAGAACGAGTTGGGTATATATATGTATACATGCATACATAGACATAAGACAATGCTATCCTGGACTAGGGCCCACTATTAAGCTTTCTCAAATTAAAAAGTGAGCGGAGATATAATGTAATATAACAATCCGCTTTTAGAATCTATCTATCTAATCTATCTATCTATCTATCTATCTATCTATCTATCTATCTATCTATCTATCTATCTATCTATCTATCTATCTATCTATCTATCTATCTATCTATCTATCTATCTTAGATCTCCATATGTATATGCATATGCATACTACACGCAGATATAAAGTAAAATCGAATTTCTTGCTTCCGAGTCCAAATGCAATGCCCGTGCTAAAGAGCAAAGAGCAGCGGGACGTGTACTGCTCCCTTTAAAATCTTTACTGTCGGAAAGGCCAAAGTTCAAGAACGACGCTTGCCCTTCGACTGAAAGCGAAGCGGGCTCCGGGGCAACTTTCGAGAAGGCACCCGACGTGCCGCCTGAACAGCGATTCCCGTCTTCACCTACCCTCTTTGCGAAGGCCTGGCGGGGGAGGCGGAGCGACATGAGAAAGTGGGCGGAGCCCCGGCTTCCTGCTCTGACGAACAACGTTGGCGGAAGTGGGTTCGGTGCGGGCTGGAGGAGCGGGCGAGTAGAGCGGCTGAGCAGGGGTATAATTGGCGGCGGCAGGCGGAACCGGCCGGGCTCGGCCGGCGCTTTCCCACCCCCGGCCGGCGCTCGACTCCCCAGTCCCGGCGGAGCCGCCATGTCGCTCTTGCAGTCGGCGCTGGAGTTCTTGGCCGGGCCCGGCTCCTTAGGGGCCGCCAGCCGGGACCAAAACGATTTCGTGGGGCAGGTGGTGGAGATGGGCGAGATGAAGCTGCGGATCAAGAAGGTCATCGCCGAAGGTGTGTGGGGCAGGAGTGGGGCGGAGGAGGGCTGGGAAGGGCTTCGAGTCCCCAGATCGTGGGAACGTCGTGAACCGGTGGTCGGGCGGCTCTCACCTTCTTCCTCCTTCCCTCTCCAATCTTTTTTTTTTTCCTTTCCTTTTTCCGCCTTCTGCCTTTTTCCATTTCAGTTCCAGGAAAAATACCATAAGGCATCCCGATGAGCCAGGATGCTAATCAGCCAATATAAGAAAAATTCAGTATTATTTTTACCCCGCTTTCCATTTTTATTACTTTTTTTATGATTAATTTTTTATACTAAATAAATCCCTATGGCCTATGGCATTGTATAGAAATGGAAAAGAAAAAGACCTTGATTGGGGTGGAGGGAGGATTCTTAAATTTGTCAAGAGACCTTGGGAAGAAAAGGAAGACGGAAGAAGGGTCTTTAAGGGCGTAGCAAGGCCAGCAGCAGCCTTGTGTGACAAGTGTGACATTTATGGGAGGGAGCCTTCCTGGCAGAGATCCCAGTGTGTTAAATTTTCCTTAAGCTGTGATTAAAGGGAAAGAGCAGGAATAAATAAAATAACAAATAGTCTTTATCAGATACTGATTTGGTATTAAGGTATTGTGGTTTGGCAGATGTGAGTGATCTTTTTTTTTTTCCATTTAGGATTTTTCACATTCCATTGTCAGTAAGATGTTATTGCTTTCCATAGCTATCTGAAGAGTTGTCAGTTTTATGCATTTGATTTTTATGCATTTGATCCTTTTAAGATCAGTTCAAGGTCTAAAATTTAGCAAAGGAAATTTTGCTATGTCTCACAGTGCTGCCTGGACATATTTACAGTAATGTTTCTGAAAAGAAATTTCCTCATTTCTTCCCATGAAATAAGTACAATAAAGAAGAATCAACCCGAAAGTGGGGGTCATAGCAGATGGAGCATTTACAACATGCTAGAAGTTTCAGCATGCAAGAGTTTACAAATATATTTACATCTGTATGGCTATTTAACAAAATATTTGGTTCCAGAAGACTAACATTCACAACATCTCAGACATATATTACTGGTGAACTGGGCATGATATTGTGTAACATGTTGTGGTTTCTAAACATATATACATGTGTTACATGAGTAACACTGACAAATGATCAGCTATGTATTTTCCCAAACTTTGATAGGAGCGAATGTAACATTTGTACTTGTATTTTGTCCATCGTTGAATTCATGTCACCACAAAGTATTGCTCTGTTGTTTCTAGATTTGTTGGGAATAATTATGAATCACTTAGTAGAGATTTTGTAACAGTTTTAAATCTTCCACCTTAATCTCTGTCTTTATCTCTGTCTAGCTGGTCTGTGTGCTGTACATCTTACGATGTAATATTTGGGTTCAAGATACTGCTTTTTGCTGAATATTGTTTTCTTAGGAAGGGCTCTCACATATGTATGTATGTATGTATGTATATATGTATGTATATATATGTGTGTGTGTGTGTGTGTGTGTGTGTGTGTGTGTGCAGGTCTTGGCGTATTCGGGTCTTTTCCCGTGTAAGATTGAGAGTATCTTGGCAACGTTTCGACGAGGTCCCACTCGTCATCTTCAGGCTGGGGTCTTCGGCTTTGTGCCTGTGCGAGCAAAGTGTATATATATGAGTTTTTTTCTCTTTTCCTCCCTCCCCTGTCTTTTGTGGAAAGTGACACTCATGATTCTTTTATGCTGTTAACTTTCTACTATTCAAAAGCTGCCATCAAAGGCTAGTGTTACTGTTCATTTGAGGATGGATTTACTAGATTCGTGAAGCTTTTTCTGTGAAAGTATATTGTTTCATGTGGCTAAAATCCTTAAGCAGAAAGTTAATGGAGTTTGTTGAAGTTAACTATTAAATATATTGAAAGGGAAGGTGCCTTGGTGACTCATATGTCCAAACCAAGAGTTCTGATTTTTTTCTTCCATCCCTCATTGGATATGCTGTTCCACTCCAGAAAAGTTGCCCCACTCCAATTATGCAACCTGCTAAGCAAGTCTCACTGAACACTTTAATGTAGTGTGTGTGGGGGATATGCATCCCTAAATTATTTGAAGATAGGGACAATATTTATGAAATATGCTGTGCTGCAGGGCTTAATTAATAAAGGTAGACTTTGAAAGTCCTCTGTTGATAAAAGATAGAGTCTCTGCCCAGGGCTAAAGTGAAAGAGAATAAAGTTGAATGGTGTCAATATTCTGTTCTTACACTGAGTATTTATTTTGGTGAGGTCTTGAGCTTTCAAGCATTCTTTTCCCCAGAATTACTATTTTTTTTTCAACCACCATGCTTTTAAAACTAAAATATTTTATTTTGAATTGCCACTGTATACATTTTTAGGGCATTAGAAAATGCATAGTCACTAGAGTGGTGAGTCTTACTAAACAGGGATACTATTGGACCTGCATGATTGCCTATTCCAGGCAGTAAATAAGACAGCAAATGATCATCTTGTTTCAGGATCCAAGTCTTAGAGCTGAAATGCACACCCATCTAGGTTTTATCTGAAATATGTTGGTCGGTAGCTTTGTTCAGTTGTGCTTTGTCCAGCATCAACTAACACATAAGGTGATTTATTTGGTTTTTTCTTAGCATATTGTATGTACCAAGTTACTGTGATTTGTAAAACATGGTTTATGGGTTTGTATATTGGGCAGTTTCGGATATTTATCTGAATTCAACTACTGTTAAGTAAACCACATATAAGTATGATATGTGATCTCAACCAGGACATTTTCATATCTTGAAAGTTACATATTTCAAAATGAAATGAATTTTAGCCATGAAAAATATAGCAGAACTGGCTGCATATATTTGTGTAATTCTGAAAGCAGTACAAAGAAGTCTGCATTAATGGGCTCAAATCTTTATGCCTTGATACAAAAGCTCCTTTGATTTATTTTCTTTCTAAGAGTTATTGGTAGAGTGGACTGTTTTCATTAGGATACTAATTTACTGTTTAAATGCTCTCCCATGTAGGAGTTTTGTTTTTGAAAATGATAATTGTTACTGAATTTTACAGATATAAAAATTTTAAAAAACTAAGGAAAAAATAAAATACAGTTTCCTACAAACTAAAATAAAAGAAAAAAAAGAAAAAGTGCAGAGGAAAAAAATAAAAAGGAAGAAAAAAAGATAAATATATAAGAAACTGAATATTGTCCAAATCATTCTTCTGTTTTATTGTTTGTGTGTCCATTTTAGTTATGAAGATATCAACTGGTTTCATTTGTATATCCAGTGTAACCTCTTTTTCCATATTCTTGTAGCTTGTCATTTTTAAATCCACATCCATCATTCATTTATCCTCTTCTATCACATCTTTTAAACCATTTTATAGTGGCATGCAATCTTAAAAGTAACCTTTGATTGCATTGCTCCCAAATATCCTTAAATGTTTCCCAAATTTAAATATTTTGTTCCCTTCTATACTAGTGGTTCTCTTCTCTTTTAATTATAATCTTTAATTCTTTCTGGTTCCTTCTCTAGTCCTATGCTTTTCTCTAATCCAGAATGTTTTCCCATGGGAATATTTGTTATACTTAATTTCTAAATCTTCACATATTTTAAATTAAACTTCAAACAACACACAGGAAGTTTGTTTGTAATTAATTTCAAATTTTAATTTAAAATCCATCCCACCTCTTAGTCCATTTGTAACATTCCCCAATCAGTGTTCTAATCACCCTTTTGCTTTTTACTCTATAATAAGATTTTTCAAAAAATCCTTAAACTTGTGTGAAAATTATTTTGTTAAAGATTCATTCACCTGGTGCAATGAAACTTCGTCTTTTTGACAATTCTTGCTATCCAAAACGCTGTTAAGAAATTTCCAGAAGCAATTAAGAAAACAACGTACGCAAACCCAGTGTAGTTTTGAAGATACCAAACTGTTGCTTGAGCAAAAATGGCTTTCCTTCAGCTTCCAGAGCTCTAAAACTCACCAGAGACTGCTGCCTTTTAGTCTCCTTGCGAGGACCCACTGTATGGAGTGTATGTGGACAATCCTAGATCCTCTCCTTTATCCAGAGAGGAATTCCAAGGAGCTGATCTGTTTGCCAGCTCCTTGTCCTGCCATAGTGATTAGCTCTGTTCTCAGCAGAACCATCTTCAGTCACCATTGCTTCCTCAGAAGTCCTATGTAGGAATTTCCTGCTTCCAATATTCTAGAATAGGGGAAAGATTAATCCTCCTCTGATAGATTTAAAACAATAAGGAAGCTTTTTATTTGAAGTAGTTTATATATTGAATAGTAATGCTTAATCATGTTTTATAATTGATTGATTGATTATATGCTGTCAAGTTGATGCCAATTCTTGGCAACCACCTAGATAGATTTTCTCCATGATGATCTGTCCCTAATCTTGTATTTCAGGTCTTCCAACAAGTTTAATGTTTAATGAATTAAAAATAGTTGGCTTTGCCATTATTTACAAATCACAATGCATATGGATGCACAACATACTAAAACAAAATTAAACCACATTAACATGATGTATGGATGAACATAAGGCAAATATTGTTCTTACAGGTGCTACTATATGGCACTGTAATATTCATTTATCTGGTTATATTTCAACATGTGGACTGATTGAGCAGTAGTGAGTTATTATGTGTAAAAATTAAATGTAAATGTAAATGACAAATGTTGAAGACAGTAAATAAAAATCAGATGTGGTCGAACAATGTAACCTGCTGTAGTCTTATTTTAGACACCGTTGCCTTAATGGTATCATCAAACCACTTGAAAAATGCTTTTTTGTATGTACAGAAACATAAGCCACAGATTATACAAAAATGTTTTAATTTTTAAAAGAATCCTGCCTTTGACTTCTGTAACATATGAAAAATTTACTCCTCCTGAGTGTTAGTATTATGAATTGGATTATAGTTTAGAGGACTGTACATTAATTTTACACATTTTTAAAATACATAGAGGTATACCAGAAGTGTACCATTTTTTTCTCCTACAACTTTAGGATGCTCGTGAC